GAGAACAATGCTTGTTAGAATTAGGGAAGGCTACACAGAAGAGGCGGTGTTTGAGTTGTATCTAGAAAGATGAATGGGGAGTTTTTTCAGGCAGAAAGGAAAGAAAGCTATTTTAGGCCAAGGAAAAAGCAATCTCAATATATGAACATCTGAAGGCCAGCAGAGTAGTCAGAAAATCACATGTGGGGAGTGAGAGAAAGGTGTCTGGAGATGAAAGTGTGGAGTAGGGTTGAGATAGAGGAGGTTGGTTTTGTGTGAGCTCTCAAGGTTTTTTTCATGTTGCTTTCTAAGATAGTGGGAAAGGTATTAAAAGTCTTTAATTAAAGAATGACATGACTACATTTCTACTTCTATTATCAGAAAGATAATTCTGACAGCAATGTGGAGATTAACAGGGAGGCTAAGGTGAGTGACGGTAGGGACCCGAACAATAGAAGTAGCAATAGGAGAGAAGAGGAGACAGATTTTAGGGATGTTTAAGAGGTATAATTGGCAGGGCTTGGAAGCATATAGGAAAAGGAGAGGAATAATTAAGGATGTTTTGATCTATCATGTAAAAAACCCAGAAAATAATGACTTATCACCAACGAGTCAATGTAAAAGTGACTTAATATTTAACTTCGAGCTATAAATGATAATTACAAGGCTTTCCCCCCTTTTGTCTTACAAATAAATATGCTTATAATTTAGGTGCCTGAGTGCATACCTGATTCTGCTGACCTTAGAGGATGACTTCCAAATTTTATTTCAGTTTGGCGGAATTTAGTCATGTTTAACAGCTGTGTGACTTGTGGAACATCTGTTGTAAGTTGGCAGCTTCGTGGAATAATATCTGCAGGTTCATCTGTTGGAAAGGGAACACCATATCCAGCTGGAAATAAAGATTAACATTCATTCTCAAAATGTAAGCCATTTCTGCCAAATAGACACATCTTATAAATGAAACCAATTAAAGTAAATCATTTTAGAATATTCCTTTGGATGAATTATACAGCCTTACAGCCTTGGTTTTCTTATCTGTAAAATGAACATGGAAATGTTGCTGCTTACTTTCTAGGACTGTAGAAAGGATTTAATAAGACAAAGTGTATAACATCGTGCGGGTTCAGAGACTCGTTCAATAAATAAGAACATTCATTGGAAACTTCATATTTGTTTTTCAATACTAGACTGTAACTTGGGGGAAGAACTAGTTAGGTATGCTCCAATGAAGATTTCTGGGAATACACTGTCTCATTTATATTAGATCATAAGTACGATGACATTATTGAATATGTACAGCCATTACATCAGTAAATTTAACTTTTAACTTTTTTATTTTGAAATAATGTTAGATCTATAGAAAAGTTACAAAAACAGAGTTCCTACATACCCTTTACAAAGCTTCCCCTAATGTTAACATCTTACCTCTGAATAATTTCAAGGAAAAAATAGTTATTATAATTAAAATAGTATTTTATTTTCATTTGTATTTCTAATGAGATTTGAAATTGTTAATATATATTTACATGGATGTTTAAATTTTCATTTTAGTAAATTTTCTGTTCACGCTCTTAACCCATTTTACTATTTGAGAACATTTTTTCTCATTTATTTTTACAACCTCTTTTATGGCAAAGATATTAAGCTTTGTCATACATAGCAAGTAGGAATCGGGTTGGTATTAGCATTCTAAAAAGCAATTTTACCGTATGTATCGAAAGCTTTAAAAATGCACATGCCACTTAACTCAATAATTTCACTTTATGAATGTATTCTAAATTAAAAAACATCATAAACTAAGATGAAGATCTAGGTAAATAGGGATCTATAATTTCTGAAAAATAAACAACTTGAATTTGCAGTAAAGAGTCACAAGAAATTGTTATTTATGATTCTGGCTTAATGATATAGGAAAGACTCAAGATAAAAAGTGAAATGAAAATAATGTACACAAAACTCTATCTCAACTGCAGGAAATCAATAAATAAAATGTATGAATGGCAAAAAGACTAAAAGAAAATACACCAAAATGTAAAATAACTTGATGGTTAGCTTAAGTGTAGGTTTTATTTTTTTCTTTATAAAAATTTTAGAATCTGGTGGAAAAAAGCAATCTGTGTATATGTGAATGTGAGTAGTAAGAAAAATCCACCAATCATCCCTCAAAAAACATCCTATATAAGTATAAACTCTGACCAGGTTTAGAAAGGCAAATGATGTTAGGTTTATGTGCACCCAACTCATGGCAGTTTTCTAATTAGATCTTAATGTCCTAATCCTGAAAAGGAAAATGAATTATTTATCTAAAAACTTAAATACTCATCAGCAATGTAATGGTTTCTAAGAGTCCTATTGCTCCTGTCATTAAAAATGCACTCGATTTACAAATCTTAGTCTTCGGGTTTTCTTTGTCCATCCATTTCTTACTTGTCAGTGACATTTAGAAAATCATTTTATAGTAACTGAGTAAATGAACTCTCAAAATAGAAAACATTTGGAAAAATAGGTAAACTAATTCCAGATATATATATTTGACATATTATTTCAAACTTCTCTGAGGTAGAAAAAGCTAGTTTCCATATTAATGCCCATATTGATAAACTAAGATTTTATATTAAAAGAGGAAGAAGTTCTGTAGGCTAATAAGACCTTGAAATAAAATGCCGTATTCTGAATCCGATAAAAGAGAAATCATGGAAACTTTAGTTTATAGGGCTTGTGTGGATGGTACAGAGTACAATGTCATACAAAGTTTGAAAAGTCCAAAACAAAATCCACATTTCCAACTAACAAGGGACAGACAGCAAATCCCTGGTAACCAAAAATCCATAAATTTTTATGGAAGACAGAATAAAGCGCAGAGTATTACAAAACTCCAATCTGAACCTTACAGGAACATGGCTGACATATAAATGAGATTTTACATCAAAAGGCTCAGATCCCCTCTGTGTCAACTTCCTTTTCTATATATCTACTCTCTCTTGGCTCCCAGAACTATTTCACAACTTATTGGATTATTATTTGAGGGAAACTGTGGTTTACTTTAAAATAAAGACTAGTCATTGATACCACTTAGTCGAGCAACTACTGACTTTCTTTGAGGCTGTGGAGGAATATACAGAAAGGGGCGTTAGTCTCATTTTTGTGAAACCAGACTATGAAGAAGCTTTAGGAACTGGCAGTTGGATGTTCTGATAGACCTAAATGCAAGTTAACTCATCTCCCCATCATCCACCTTACCACTACCTCCTTCCCCCGGCCGTGTCCAATGACTAGGCCATTTTTATTTTTTAGCATTTATAGTTTAATTTAAAAATAAGAATTCTAAAAATAGCATAGATCCTACAATAAAAATTAAATAGTGCTAATCTACGAGTACATGTCTTCATTCATTTATTCATTCATTCACTCACTTGCTCATTTTATCATCAGGCAAATATTTATTGAGTCTCTACTATGTGCCAGGCACTTATCTAGTGGCTGAGAATCTAGTGGGGAGTCAGGGTAACTCTGTCCTGGCCTTCTTGAAACTTACACCTAGCAGAGAATATAAAACAAATTACATCATAAATAACGGTTTAAGTATAATTTTGTTATGTTCTCTGAAAGAAAAGTTCATGGTGTTATGAAAGAGGTAATGGGGTAATCTACCAGCACAGGGTGTCAAGTCTTCTCTGATAAAGAGACATTTAAGCTGAGTCATAAAGGATTAGTAGAATAAAGGATAAGTAGAAAGTAGCCTGGTAAAATGGGGTAGGAGTGATCACTCAGGTGAAGGGAAACGAGCATTTGAAGACTCTGAAGGCAAAAGAACTTTGGTACATTCTAGGAACTGAAAAAAAGATAATTCTGTGAAAGCATTGTAGCATGGAGAAGAATGATGGAAGAATCCCAATGATATATTTAGTACAGCAATTGGTTCAAAGGGGCTGCTCAATAAATGGTTATGAACAAAAGCTTCTTAATAACAGCTGACCTAGATTAAATGCAGCTGTCAAGTCTTCCACTTCTTCTTTGGTTGTTCTTTGTTCAGCTATATCCTGAAAAGTGCTCCATGTATATTTTATTTGGATATCACATCTTTCTCCCCAGATGGCAAATAACAAATCAAGCTGGCAATCAGATACTATGGGACCCGGGCCTGTCTGCATTGTTCTTTCAGACAAGTTCTATCTTCTGGAATAGATTGTGTATGGAAACATGCAGACTGCTTGATTAATGTCTGAAAAATGACATAGTTGAATTTCAGCTGCTTTTGCTAACAAATCTGAAAGAAAATAATGTTGGCTGGAATGGTCAGCTCAGAATTGCAAATGGTACATGAAGGAGAAGACTATGAGAAGGCTGACAGATTTGCTCATGTAGCATCCAAATACAACCAGATGGTGGGCTTTTTGATGTCTTTGCCTCCTGTCTATGTGTTAGTATATTATTAGAATGTTTGAGTGACTTTGTAACCCTGTTCACTCTTCTTTGGCCATAAGCCATCATAAAATGAACCATTCTGTAGGCTTTTAATACTTTTGAGGAGGATCTTAACTAGCTTTAAAAATTAAGTCATCAATTTTAATACATATATAAAGCACTGTACGCATTAAAAATGATCATCCTCATTTTATGGGGGGAATGTCTTATAAAATAGTGAGATTTATAGATACGTTTTGGTTATGGCTTCTCCTAATTCATATAGTTTAAATAAGGACTAATTTTATAATAATTCACTAGTCCCAGACTCAATTATATTCATCCTCTTTATATGGGAATAGCCTGCAGTACCTAGCAGAGTGCCTTATTTATATATAATCTCACCTCTCTGAAACATCAATAAGAGAGAAGTAGAAAGCACAGGAATCTCTAACTGCCAAAATATTTCTTAGTTTATTCAGGCTGCTATAGCAGAATACCATAGACTAGGAGGCCTATAAACCACAGAAATTGATTCCTCACAGTTTTGGAGGCTTAGAAGTCCAAGATCAAGGTACTGGCAGATTTGGTGCCTGGTGAGGGCTCTATTCCTGGCTCAGACATGGCCATCTTCTTGTTATACCCTCACATAGAAAGGGTGAGGGAGTTCTCTGGGGTCTCTTTTATAAGGGCACTAATGCTATTCATGAGGGCTCTACCCATATGATCTAATCACCCCCCAAAGGCCCTACCTCCAAATACCATCACTTTGGGGATTAAGTGTCAACATATGAATTTTAGGAGGGCACAAACATTTAGTCTATAACAATATTGATACAAAGTCTGTTTATTTTTTGTTTGTTCATTCATTCATTTGCTATATAACTATCAGATTTTCTCTGGGCTTGGCATGGATTCAAATCTGTGCCTTTTCGGAGAGAGATATTAAGAAGCAGCATACTATAGGGATTAAAAGTACAGGCTCTGAAACAAGGTATCCTGAGTTCACATTCTGTCTCTACCACTCAATAGCCGTGTGACCTTGGCATAGTAGTTTACCTTGTTGTGTCCTGCTCTTCTTAACTGTGAAACATGAATATAAAGATAACATTTACCTTATAGGGTTATTGTGACGATAAAATGAGTTAATGTATATAAAAGTCTAAGAATAGTGCTTGGTATATAGCAAGTGCTACATAAGTGTTTTTTATTAATCACAGACAAATACTTCTGTAAATTATTTCATTACAATGGTGAAAAAACCCACCACATTTTACTATGTTTTTCATAATAAAAGGTTTTGATGCTTAAGGGGGAAAATAAACCTAGATTATATCAAAAACTTGGGTATACTGAACGAATCATACCTTACCTTAGAGGTTTTTAAAAATAATTTATTGAGGAGAAATACACATTAACATAAAATGAAGCATTTTAAAGGGAAAGATTCAAGGACGTTTAGCAAATTCACAATGGTGTGCAACC